TATATATATATTTAATTGAGAAATATAATGCCATTATATGGAATATGAATGACATAAAAAAACCTAAGCCCTGCACTTCACTCTGGACCGGTTGAAAAGGGCACCAAATTATTTTCCTCCGACAACCGCAGCGTAAAGCGGCGGCGAGACCACCGAAGCTGCAGCGGTGATGGGCGGAGGTAAGGGCGGGCAGAAGCGCGGTCGAACACAGCGGCGGCACTTCAGGCAGTCCAGAGATAACACCTGGAAGTATGGCAATAAGAAGACCCGCGCCGATGAGGACTCTACCATTGAGGATGCCGATGCTGACCCCAATCCTAATCCTTCCTGGGAGCCCTTTTCCACAAAAAATCCCGGCTTTGAGGAATATTACAAGGTAGTCGCTGCTCCGTTTCCTTGTAAAATTAATTCAAGAGGTTTCATGTCATATTTGATTCCCTCTCGTCTAAAGCTATGCTGGAATCGGATTGCTCTTCGGTCGATCGGAGTCTTTTTAAGCATGGAAAATTGAATTTTTATTCAAAAGTATGCTTTTGATGATTTATTTAGCTGGAATGTTACATCAAACTCAGAGTGATTATCATATTGATTTTTTAAAACTTGCATAATTGTTTGTATGAGTAAAGGCGAGTGCTTGCAATATGGCTTACTAGGACAATAATTTATTCCCCCTCTAAATAAGAAAATGAATCTTAATATACATTTATGAATACCCCATTCATTATAATATATACATTTATGAATACCCCGTCCATGGTCTGTAAGATCGTTGCCTTGATGGCATAAAAAAATTGCATTTTGTGCTTACAGCAATGTTTAAAATTGTAAAATTTTGTATTGAAATATTCTTTTTTTATTCGACAAGACAAGTCTCAAGACCTGTTTAGAAATAAGCGTCAAAATAAAATCATTAAAAAAGTTAAAAATATGAAAAACAAAACATTTAAGAGTAAGGGTTTAAATTAAAACATAACATTATATAAAGCTATGCACATAATAATAAGTAAGAAGTCTAAGATAAATGAGTAAACATACAAATGTCTAAAAAAATAAGTAAAGTTAAACATGCTCGCAAAGAAATATGACTTCAAATTTAAAAGACACTTTCATGACTTGGAGGGCTATCATTATAATCATTCTTGTAATTGATTGCTTTCTCTGTTATCTTATTCTCATTTGTATCAACATAATCTCAATCTTCTTGATAATTTTTAATGTCATTCATCTTTCTCGTCTGTAATCAGTAAAGCTTAATAAGAATATTCTTCAAAAAAATTACTATTTTGATGTACTTAAAGGTTATGCTAACCTTTTAATTACTTTCTTGTCAATGCCGAGCTGTTATTTTATTTCTCAACCAACATATCAAAAAAGTAAAAATAGAGGGCATGCCTCTTTAAGAAAGCCTCAAGGCATGCCTCACTTGTTTGGGGCGCACATCCCTTTTTATTTACGTGAGGCTATTGCCTTAAGATACTTCATATTTCTACTCTCTCTGAGGTGCGCCTCAAGGTACTTATCTTATTCCATAATTTTAAAAACTTAATGACTCACACTTGGGTTCTTTTGATGTTGGTTGATTGGAGTCTAAATCAAGCTCAAAGCACGTCTTACATGAGTCTCAATATAGTACTTGAACAAGGAAGATACATTTTCTTTTGTTTTCCTTTTCAATCTTTGGGATTTGTTCTGTTTCAAGCTTTTCTCTAGTGTGGTGTCCATGGGTGACTTTTTTTTTGATTCTATGTTATTCTATGGTTCTCTCAAAATAAGCTTTCCGGGATAATCCTAGTGATATTTTTATGCATCTCTAGTATTTCTAATAAAATATATAGCTAGCATGCCCGTGTTTTTCATGCTTTATACTTGATATAATTGATGTTTTGATTAATCAGCATCTTTATGTCGTTTCTTGATAAAAAATGTCGAGCACATATAGTAATAAAAGCATTTTCAAGCCACTAATTTTGGGTGACTAATCCTAAACCAAGATCAGCTTGACATATGTTTCTACTTGCAAAATCCGCTCTCTACTATACTTCAAGTTTTTCACTTAGTCATTGAATTTGATGAAGTTTGTGTGTTTTCAAGTTTCTTCAAACTTTTGGCATGTTTGCTGGCTCTAGATTTAGTTCATTCCAAACTAATAAGAGTAAACCCCTTCACCTTAGCAAATTATTATGTGTAAAAAAATATGGCTAGCCTTTTTTAGCATGTTTACTCAAGTGTAAAGGCGGGATTTACAATCACAACACCTATGCATTTCTTTTGCACTGCAATGTCTCAACAAACTTTTTTTGTGTTTATATATATATATATATATTATAGTTATTGATTACAACAATATATTAGTTATTGATTATATTGTAATGCTTTAGGTGGTCATATAGAGGGTTAAGATGTTATGTAGAATATGTAGGAAAATGAATTTTTCTCTGATTTTGATTGAATCATAATCTAGTGTTTTTTTATTTTAGCTTAAAGGTAAAGTTAAGGCTTTGTGAAGTTTGTTGGCCTATCTTCTTATTGACGCATATAAAAAAATCTAAATCAACTCGAAAATTAAAATTTTGTCTAATATTAGTTAAAGTTTTATTTCATTTTATTTTTTTATATTTTGTTGCAAATGTATCAATTATATGAATATATTTTGTGTAATAAAGCTTATTTATTGATGACAATTATTATATGTTAGCTATTCACAAATTTTAATTCTAATCTTTCATTAAGTTGATAATTTACAAATTTGTTATAGGGGCAAGTAATTGTGCCTGAAGAGGAATGGGAGGAATTTATCTCTCTTTTGAGGAAGCCATTGCCAGCTGCATTTAGAATTAATGCCAGGTATATCTTTCATTTTATTTATATATTTTCTTCAGCCTAATGTTGTCATTTATAATGAGTAAGCATGGATATCTTGTCAGTTGCCTAATGTTGTCATTTTTAATGAGTAAGCATGGATATCTTGTCAGTTCTAGCTTCTCATAGTCAATCTGTAGTTGAGTATTACTTGGTTGTCGATATAAGATTTTCCTAGTGTCGAAGGCTCTCGGCAATGCAAGGTTTGACGAATATCTTATCTAGTGGTCTTTACCCTTTTGCATTGTTGTTGAGTTTTATTTTATTTTACATACATGCCATCTTATCTTTGCCTGAAAAGGGAAATTTCACTTTTTAAAAATAAAGAAGATCATTTTTTTGATGTGATTTGAAAGATTTTGGTGTTTTAAATATAATAAGTAAACGTTAGGTGTTAGATATGTAAATACATAAGTATTGGGGGGTATGTATGTCCCCTTTATTTTATTTTTGTTGAAGCTCTGGATGGATATGATTATGAATGTGAGTAGGCTGGCAGTTGGAGTCTGAAATACCAAAAACTAATGATGACATCACATTTGTGAAATTTGAAAGCTCGTTCTCAAATTATCCTATATTGCTGTGAACCGTCATCTCTTTTGCGCCAAGTGTATACGGGTATTACTATAAAAAATCTAATCACAAGACTTTTTTCTAAGGCCTAGTACATTCCAGCATGTGCATTAATTAAAAAAAAAAGGTCATAGCCCTGAAATCAACATTAGCTCATAATCTGGGTACTTGATAAATTTTTTCTTACTTTTTCAAGTTCCTGTCCAATAAAAATGTAATGCTTTGAGGATGACTTCTTGTCTTCAAATAACCTAATATAATCAGCATTGGAGAGTGTTTAAATGTATGCCTTGAGTTTGACTTCATGCCTTCAACTAAGCTAATATAATTGACATTGGAGAGTGTTTTAATGTTTGGATACTTATATTTAGTGCATAACAATTTTTTCTTTGAATACTCTTGATATATTTGAGGATCCTTGGATTAGGTTCCCAGTTCTTATTTTTTGGATTTTACATAGACTAACTTACCAATCCGACAACGAATTTGATTGATACTGGAGTTAACCCAAATCACGACTATAATGACACATTTTATTGCTGACTTCAAACAGTTATGAACAAATAACAAAACGAGTGCTGAAATAAAAGCAAAGAAAAACAATAAAACAAAAACAACCCTCTTTAGCGGGGTGCAGTAGGTCTGATCGGTGGAGGGAGCTGCTGGAGAGATTGTGGGAGGCTGACAATTGGCGGGAGGCGCTGATACGGTGGTCGGGAGTATGCTAGAGGGGACCTGCAAGGTGGATGATCGGCGTGAAGTGTCAAGGAGGAAGTGTGGGGGTTTGCTGGGAGTAGCTTGAAGGTTGGTGGTCTGCTCACGAATGCAGGGGTGGCCGGCGGTGAGTGAGGAAGACCTAGAGAGGTGGTCGACCGACTGGGGAGTGCTCGGGAAGGAAGGCGGCGGTCGCTGGAATGAATCAACAAGATCCATGACTTGCTGGGATGAGCTGGAAGTTGGAAGAGCAGCGGGATTGAAGAGGGTCGCTTACTTGTTGTGAGTTGCCGATAAGAGGTGTGACTGCTATAGGGAGGCTGGCGTGACCAGTGACCTACCAGCTGGAGCACGGGAGGTCGGCTCAGTCTGTACAACGCTTTAAGGTGGATGGCAGCTGGGTGGAGTGGGAGTGAATGGAGATAGTCACCACCTTGGGCGAGGTACAACTAGAGCACCACTCATCGTTTGATATAACCCTCGGAAGGGGGGAATGCCTTAAAGAGAATTGAAATCAGAGATGGACAAATACTGGTTAATCTTCAACAAACAACAATTATAAATAAGAGGGAATTAATAGATAGACTAGGCAAGTAGAAGAATTGGCAAGAAATAAATGAGGGGGAATAAGAAAGAAAGAAATTTGAAATGCAGCCTATGCGAAAGAGGGGAAATTGTGCGTGAGATTAGGGAAGGGGGGCAGAAGTTAAAGAAGCTTGGCTGGTGTGGTCCAGTAGGGAGTCTGGACCAGCCTTGTACTACAGTCGGTCAGGACTCAAGAGCCCCACGTCAATCTCCCGGGCTTTGGGAAGCTTCAACAGCAGTCCTCATTCAGGCCACCACCTGCAGCCTGCAGCAGCGCCTACCGACAAGGCTACATCCAGAGTTGGAAAGATAGTATGCATCTTTTGCATCACATGTACTACAAAAGACAGTTTGCAGGTTGATCATTGACGGTGGAAATTGCGAAAATGTCTTGTCCACACTAATGGTGAAGAAGTTGGGTTTGGTCACAGAAGAACATCATTGATCCTATTCTCTCACATGACTGAAAAAGGGAAATGAGATACGTGTAGGTCAACAGTGCTTAGTCAAGTTTTCAATTAGAGATTAATTACAAGAACAAGTATGGTGTGATGTGGTTTAAATGGACGCATGTCACATTCTATTAAGGAGGCCGTAGAAGTTCGGCTGTAAAACTCAGCATGAATACTTACTCATTTTAGAAGGATGAGAAGCGCATCATGTTGTTACCTGTCAAGTATGCGAGAGGCGTGGTCGACACAGAGGATGCGTTAGTCGCACGAGCCACCTTCATACAGCCAGCTCAAGATTCACTGATGACACTAGTGTTAGTCCTCCTAGAAGGTGTCAACAAAGAGAGTGAGATACCCGCACATCTACAACCACTACTACTCGACTTTAGGATGTGATAACTGACAGGTTTCTAGATGAATTACCACTACTGAGGGACATCCAACTCTCCATAGATCCCGTACCAAGATCGGGGTTATCGAATAGACACGCCTACAGATTGAGACCCATGGAGTAAGAGGAGCAACAACATTAGGTGTATGACCTCATTACCAGAGGAGTAGTCAAAGATGGTACCAGTTTGTGTGCTCCCTACCCTTTTAGTACCCAAGAAGGACGGTTCATGGCAGATGTGCACGACAACTGGGCCATTAACAAAATTACCATCAAGTACCGATTTTTCATACCACACTTATATGATCTCTTAGATTAGTTACACGGAGCCACCATCTTCTCCAAGATCGATTTGTACAGTGGATGCCATCAGATAAGAATGCAGCTAAAAGACGAGTGGAAGATTGCTTTCAAGATACAAGATGGTCTATATGAGTAGTTATGTCCTTCGGCTTGTCCAACACAACCAACACCTTCATGCAGTTGATGAATCAGATGTTTCGGGCCCACATTGGGAAATTCATGATAGTCTGCTTCAACGACATTCTGGTATGTAGTAAACTAGAAGAGAAACACTTTCAACACCTTGGGGCAGTATTCGAGGTATTGTAAGCTGGACAACTATACACCTATTCGAAGAAATGCCACTTCCTAGCAGACAAAATAAGTTTTTTTTGGTTATATCTTACTATCATGGATATTCAGTTGGATCTGACGAAGATCAAGACAATTGTGAGCTAGACTGTGTCACAGTCATCTGCTGAGCTATGATAATTTTAGGGACTACCCTCCTACTGGAGATTCGTCAGGAACTTCAGCACTATCACCACCTTCCTAACATAATTGTTGAAAAGAAAAGAGTTCACATGGACAACCACAATTCAGACCAATTTCGACACACTAAAGGCGATGGTGGCTCAGACACTAGGTCTAGCCTTACCCTAATCAATCAAATGTTTGAGGTTGAGTGTGACACATCTAGCATAAGAATTAGAGCAGTAGTAAGTCAAGGAGGTGGCCCTATCACTTTTTTCAGCGAAAAGTTGAATGACGCTCGAAGAAAATACTCAACCTACGACAATGAATTTTATGTCATTGCCAAAACCTTGGAGCATTGGAGTTATTATTTGCTGACGTGAGTTCACGTTGTTCACAGATCACGAAGGCTTTAAATTCTTAAACAGTCAAAACAAATGAAGGGGCGACATGCCACATGAGTAAAATTCTTAGCTTCATTTCTGTTCGTGCTTAAGCACAAAGCACAATGCATAAAGCCAGATGTATTGAGCCGTCGTCACCTGTTGATCACGTCAATGTAGACTCATGTTGTAGGTCTTGAGTTCATAAAAAACTTATACGAGACAAACAAGGACTTCTAAGAGATATGAGAGCAGCGTTGGGAGAATCCTACCTGGCAGTACTATCTTGCAGATGACTACTCATTCTACCCGAGTAAAATATGTATTCCCAGATACTCGGTGAGAGATGATATTGTTCAGGAGGACCACAGTGACAGACTAGTTGGACATTTTGGTAGGGATAAGACTCTCGCACTTGTGTGAGAACACTTCTTTTGGCCTCAGCTAGGTCCGACGGTGTAGGATTTGCCATATACCCGAGGGTAGAATACAAGATTGTACACTCCTTTGCCGGTTTCAGAGGCACCTTGTGTCGACGTCAGCATGTACTTTATGGTAGGACTTCCTCGCACACAACGGGACATGGATTGTGTGATGGTGGTAGTAAACAGTTTCTCAAAGATGCTTCATTTTGTGGCTTGTCACCGGACGCTGGATGCATTTCACATTGCCGACTTATACTCCGAGAGATCGTGAGACTACATGACATTCCCATGAACATCACATCCGACAGGGATGCCAAATTTTCTAGCTACTTCTGGAGAACTCTGCATGGTAAATTAGGCTCTAAACTTCAATTTAGTTTCGCAGCACACTCTGAAACGGATGGCCAGACCGAGGTATTAAACACGAGCCTTGAGAATCTTGGCGATGCTTCGTGGGAAAGACATTAAATATTGGGATCTCATTCTAGCTCAAGACGGGTTCGCCTACAACTGATCCATTAGTTAGACTCGGGACGCATCATTAGAGGAAAAAAGTATTTGAAGGATTCACAATACTTTTGCCAAAGATGGGGCAAGAGAACGCATCGTCTACAATCATTCGATGAAAATATAATATGATGAGAGAGGTAAAAAGTTTGCGGTGATTTTTGATGTGTAGAGCACCGAAATTCAAAATCCATAGCAT